GTTTTAAATTAGGGTTCAACAGCCCCCTCTCTATCCTGAATGCAGTTGCAAGCTCTCAGAGGATCCAAGTGAGCCCTGGGACTCTGAGGGAGGCCATTTGTCAAAGTGTAAAAGTGATCAAATGGCTTTCCAGCTGTTTGAATCACTACTACATGAAAGGGACTCCCTATTATATCTGCAGTTAGAAGCTATGCAAAAGATTTAGATACATTTTTCTTTTAAAATATTTACAGTGTTCTCAAAACATATTTTACCATCCTGACTGTTACGGCTCTATCACTTAAAAACATCCTTGTTTTAAAACAAAGCAGTTGTGTTTGCACTTGTTTAGACATCTCTCTAGCCTGTGCGTCTTCTAATATGTATTCTCTATTTGTACAATTTAAATAAACAACGCATATAATAACAGTTATCAAGAGCGTGAAAGACACCCACCACGCCTTTGAATTGAGGGAGTACCAAAGGAGACATTATACAGTTTTACACATGTCAACTTTGAAACTGAAGCATTCCATGACCCCTTTTTACTCTTTGTTTATACTTCAGCTTCATCACTGTGACTGTTGCTGGAAGAAGATCAATTAGTTGATAGCAAGGGAGGTCAGTGAGCAAGGGTTATTGTATCATCAATATAATGTGATAGATTGAGGAGCTCCTGTGAAGCATGCATACACATAATGTATAATTCTTGGTTTCACTGGTTCCTCTAATAAGCTTTTTGTTTCATTAATCTGAAGATGATGTTTTGTAGGCATTATACTCTTTTCAGGATGGTAAACATAGATTGTGCCCTGCTACAAAGTAAACTATGAACTCTTAAATCGACTTTTCATTAGAATAAACCATATACATGTTGTGGGAAGGTTTACTATGCATTAATGAATGAAATGAGCAGAACATTTTCAGAGCAAATTATTTATAACAGCTCCCACAGCTGTCCTGTCAAAGAGCACTAACATGCCAGCTGAAATAGCTTGTAATAAGTGAACTGCTATCATTCACACTTCCAGGGTCAGAATGTTCAGCAAAGAGACTTCTTTGGTGGGCATACCTCTCTGTGATAAAAAAAAAAGGTAAATGTAGTATTCTGTTAGTGTTCTTGTTGCTTAAATTATACCTGAATCTTAAAGATCATCCCATGCTATAATATTTTACCATTCTACACATAGTCATCTCTCAAAGGCACTTCAGGTAGTTAGTATTAGTTTATGTTAAAAAATCTGAGGGTTTAATGTCACTGTAAGACTATTCTGTTGCGCTATAACAAGGAATAAGGGGGACAATATTATACTATTCTGAACACAGTCCTTTGCTAAACCATACCACTTCATTGAGTCTGATTATTAGAACTGGTCTGTACCACTGTAATAGGTGACTATACTATTCTGAACACAGTCATTTTGCTAAGTCATACCACTTCAGGTCGTCTGGAAATGAGGACTAGGTTGTACCACTATAAGAGGAATACAGGGGAAGTGACCATACTATTCTGAACTCAGCCATTTAGCTAAATCATACCACTTCTGATTGTCTGCTCGTCACAGACGAGTGGATTTTTCGAGCCCTGATTATACTATTATACATGGTCATTTTGATAAGCCATACCACTTCAGGGAATCCTAGAATTAGGGATGGTTTGTACCATTATAATAGGGATATGGGGAAAGTAGTTACATTATTCTGAGCATGATCATTTTGCTAAGCCAAACCACTTCGGGGAGCCTGAGGCTTAAAACTGGTCTGCACCACTATAATAGGGATACTGTGGCGGTGTAATATGTGAGATACAAACAAAGCATGGAAGTGACTTTACTGCCCCCTGTTGTTTAATAGTCATAACATAATGTAGTATGTTATAATATTGCAAAGTTACATATATACACTATAATTCTAATGTGAACTCTAAGTAAAACAGATAAATATTATTATTCTTAATAAAATAATAATTTAGATCCTTACGGTCTTGTATATGACTTTAATGAGGTGTCATTCCAATCCCAAGTCAGTTATGGTTGTGAAAATATGTTATGTTAAAAAATAATATGTTGTGTTGAAAAAAAAATCATATAAGAGTGATATCCTTTGACATAGAGACTTAATCAATAAGACTAATGCAATTTGTTGTTTTTTTCAAAACAATAACGTGCAGCAGCTTTTCACAATTAATCAGATTTCACCAGATATCATTTGAAAGAGCTTCTAACAGAATTGGTGTGTGGTTCCGGACTAAATGTGATCATTATTGTCAGCTACATATTCTAATTGTGATGATTTGAAGAAAGATCAATATAATTTAACAATAACAACAAAACATTTCTTGTGGACCTTTGAATATATGGTCATGCATTGTCATAAATGTGTCTTCATTTAAATCTGTTTCATACAGAGTTTGTCTTTACAAAGGCAAGGGTGGGATTTAAGTTTCACTTCTAATTTATCATTCAGAGCACATCAGTGTCAAATGTCACAAGACTGACACTTGCAAATTCTCTAGTATTGCATGTCTGAAAATGCTTTATAATAATTAAAGAGAAAACCCATTTGGGCTAGACTTCCTAGGGCTACAACTATCATCTGGCTCTTGTTCAGAGCTGTCAGGTTACCACAAGCGCTATTAATTCATATCCCAGAATCCTTTTATCATAAAGCTGCAGATTCTTTTCTGTATAGTTTGGCAGCCAAGCTGCACTGCTTTTACGTTTCTTGTAAATGCTGTATCGGGCTTTGTATATGTCTTAAAAAATTGTGCCAGCAAAGTGTAACTAAATAAATATGGCTGTCCTGATGTCATAAATCATAGCAAATAGAAGCTGGCTCGCTGCTGTGAATACGTTATGAAATATTCAATAAATTTAGTGCACATTGCAGTAAAACCATAAAAAAACACATTTGTCCTTTGTATATCACTAACACTTATTTATATTAATAATGCCATAATTGCTGTTGGTCATATAGTAATAGTTATCTTTATTATCACCAACCAATAATTGCACAATAAATTGCACAACAAACCAACAAGCTGTTGTGCTAACATGCATTATAAAATTTAAGGAGCCTGACACTTGCTATAAACTCTGGACTCACCTTTTCTCTATGCAGTTTTTATACATGATTAACTGTAAAAAGTTTGAACTGAATAATAAATGAAATTATCACTAGGAAAAATGCAGTGATTTAAGGGAAATTATTAAGCCCCTATATTTACCAATTTCACGATCTCTGAAATTTGCCCAAACCACTCTTATTTGCATTGGTATCTTTTTTTGTATATATACAGGGTTATTCACAAAGCTGCCGAAGGCAGCCGTGTGAATAATCGACCCGAAGTGAAGTGAGCCAAACGCTGTGCGGCTATTCACTTCACGCTTGTACAGCTGATTTCAGCCATACATCGGCTGAAATCAGCAGCACATTGACTTGCTTCGACTGGCTTCGGGTCGGCCGAACATGCTCAGCATGCTCCGTGGTACCGAGCAGAATAGAAAAAGTTTTTAAAAAGTAGAAAACGATTGGGTGGAGCTAGCAGTGACAGCTAGCTCCGCCCAACTGTTTCCTATTGGTCGGGACCTGCTCTAGCAGATCTTGGTCAATGAATAACAACTGGGCGGGAGCCAGCCGTGATATCACCGCCGGCTCCGCCGAGATCTCAGTGTATAATGACAGATCAGCATCGCCTGGTTACCAGGTAACCAGGGGACACTGAACAGTCATTACAATGAGATCTCAGCGGAGCTGGCCGTGATATCAAGGCCGGCTCCGCTGAGCTCTCATTGTAATGACAGTTCAGCATCCCCTGGTAACCAGGGGATGCTGATCTGTCATTGCAAGTGGTCGGAGATGACTGCTAGCTCCGCCCAGCTGTCAGTAGCAGGCTTTCAGCTGGCCAATGCCCAGTCGTTTGGCCCGCTTCGACTTTCAATCAGCTCAGTCGAGCCGAAGCATATGCCTTCGGCTCGACCGAGCCACTCGGCCAACTTCAGGAGCTGTATGGGCTATAGTGAATAGCCCGTACAGCAGCCCTTCGGTTCTACAGAACCGAAGGGCTCAGGCGGCCGAAGCTAGCCAAAGGACCAGCCGGAGCTATGGCTGATGCTTCGGCTAGCTTTGTGAATAACCCCCATAATCATACTTGTGTGCATTACATTTTTTATTTTACTTTTTCACTGCCTTTGTTTTTTCTTTCTGTGAAAAGAAAAACATAAAATAATAAAAAAAGGGGCTGTAATTTTGCAGAACAGATCCGGGATAATTGAAATAAGCCTCTAAACCTCATGAGTCATTTAAAACCATTGCACTCTCAAAACCCACCCCAATGTTGCCTTGACCATTGATTACAATGCATTTTTCCAAAATGGCAAAATTGTGCTGAAACCTCTTACATTTTGCAGAATTTTTGGGGAAATGCAAACTTTCAGTTTTGCTCATCCTATATATCACCCCAATGTGCATTTTGAGTGCACAGGCATGTTGCTGGGGACCATGTACATCTGCTTGTTGGTAGTCTTATCAATGATGAGAACATGTGCTGAGAGACCCCCTAATCCTTTAATGCATTATAGGGAAAGTTGAGCCTCATTCTGCATTACTGATATATTTTATTATGTCAGAATTGTTTCTGCTGCTAGAAATCTCAATGATAAAATGTATTCACAAAGATAAGATAATATGTATTGTACTTTGTATTTATTCTATTTCATGCTTACATGTGGTACAAATGTATTTATCTTAAAATGTTGTTTGCTGAAATGTTGGGTGTCAAAAACAATTAAGCTAGTTTTTGGCTTAAATATTACCAATATTACGTGGCAACTTATGCAACAGTTTTTGTTCATAGTGTTGTCTATTTTTTTTAATAGTAATTTGCTACCAAATAAAATACTGTAATATAGGTAGAAAATTCGGCAGCAGAATATTCATTTTTATGGTAATTTTTCCACATATATTCTGAACATTGTCTATTAACATTAAACATGCCCTTCTCTTTCTTTTTTCTCTTGTAGGTTCATGAGGGGAGACTACCACATTGATGTCTGTATCAATGACTATCTAGATGTATTCTGCCCTCATTATGAAGACTCTGTGCCTGAAGATAAAACTGAACGATACGTTTTGTTCATGGTGAACTTTGATGGCTACAGCTCCTGTGATCACACATCCAAGGGCTTCAAAAGATGGGAGTGCAATCGGCCCCACTCCTCCAATGGACCTCTAAAGTTTTCAGAGAAATTCCAACTCTTCACTCCATTTTCGTTAGGATTTGAATTTAGACCAGGAAGAGAATATTACTATATATGTGAGTATATCCTAAAATGTTTCTGTTCGTGTGATCTAGTGAATATACATATTATATTATTTAGCATGTGCTAAGCTGATCATGCTTACATATATGAGTCCTGTGAAAGTGGTGGCTTCTGTAGACCTCCAATATGAATTGGAGATGAGTGTTGTTAACCAGAGGGGAAGTGGCTTCCAGCTGACTTGAAATAAAAGTGAGAAAAGACCCACAGTAGAGAGAGAAGCATAATAATATAATCAAAAATTCCCAGACTATAAAGTTGATTTACTAGAGTAGAGCATATTTACTTTGCAAGGGAATCTTTACCACATTAACTAAGCATATGGTGAAAATTCAGTTTGCAAAGAATACAAAAATGTGTGCACGTTTGTGAAAATTTAAAAACAGGATTTTTGCTTGCACACAATTGGATGATTTAAGTAAGCAGAGCTTCACCACATTTGCTAAGCTAGGGGAAAATGCCAAATAAACAACCTGCATTCCATTAGTAAATCAACCCCTATCAGTCACTTTGCTCTGGATCTGCTGGTACGCTGTTTGCTAAACTACTGGTTTTTAGTGTTCTATGCACTTATCAAATATTTCTAACACTGCCCAGGTAGAATGTCCCCAGCTGCTACACCCTACCCCTCTAACATACTCTAAGCTAAAACACCCAACACTCAAAAATCTTCTCAGGTGCTGCCCACCCCTGCTCAGTAACTTTCCAGAGACTTGAATTGGGCCTTACTCCAAAAGCATGGCCTATTCAAGTCAAGGCAGGCAGCACTGAGAAGACTTCTTATCAAAGCATGTAAACAGCGAGGCTACCACCAACTGAGAGAGACTTGTGGGCAGCTTCTTTAAAGAAAAAGGATCAATACAAATAAACAATATATTTGTACCCTTCCTAGCCCAATTTCCTTATGCCTTGGGATCCAGTGCACGCTGCACTTGATCCCACTCCAATTCCTGCTGTCATTGCTGAGCAACATAATTACATAGTTTGCCCCCTCTCCCCTCATGGCTGCCCAATCATGCTGCTAGCAAGGAGATGGATAGTGTGATTGACTCTGACAGCAGCAGCTGCTATAGATGAGCCCTGTCATTTACCAACGCAAGGTGAGGGGATCCTATTAGAATGAGGCTCCTGTGTACATGAAACTCCACCTGCCTGTGCCTTTCTTTCCCAGCTCTGTGCCTCTCCTCCACTCTCTCACTCACCCCAGCAGCTTCACACTTGGGCAGAGAGCCCATGCCCTGCTCTAACATTAAAGGAGAACTATGAGGTGAGCGCTTTCCACTCACCTCATAGTTCTTAACACACTGCTACACAGTTCGTGTCAGAAAGATCTGCCCCTTAATCGATACAGTAAATCCGCGAGCAGCAGTCTCAGTAAATCCGCGAGCAGCAGCTCGCTGTATACTGCGGCGTCGCCACTGAGGACGCTAGTTTGTGTCCTCCCGTTACCCTAAGGAGAACTATGGGGAAAATACTTAACCCCATAGTTCTCCTTTAACCCTCTGCTTTCTCTGGCAGCCAGTTACATGGAGGGATGTGTCGTTCCTCACAGCGCTGCTTATTCTTTCATGCAACTGCTGTGGCTGCCAGAGGAAGCAGAAGGTAGTGTTAGAACTGAGCCTGGGTTTTGCACCCAAGTGTGAAGCTTCGGGGGGGGACGGAGAGAGTTAAAGAGAGACACAGGTGGGGAAGAATGGTGTGGCTAAGGAAGCAGACATTGATCCTGCTCTTGTGTATAGAGTGTAACACAGTACAGTACACAAGTGCAGTGCACTGATCTCCACTGTATTTCTTGTTTACTGTACTTTTTGTATGTGGATTATCTGTTCACAGGCATTGAGCAATGTGCCTCTATGTAGGTTATCCAGAACAACAGGAGGCACATTACCCTGAATTGGAACACATAGCACACAGAGTGGTGGGGGCCTAGTTCAGGCTGTCACCCATATTTTCACATTCAGCCAGTGGTGGACCTACAGTCAGCACTGACGGTGATTACAATTTGCTTTTATTCCCAAACAACAGCACAGATCTAAATGGAACTGAATGCTACAGGCTCAGAAGTCCCCTGGTGGATTCACAAATGATTTTTAGGTTATTGTGCTAGTTATTCTTTAAATTTTGGCATTATGCCAATCCTTCTCAATGCTTCATGTAGTGGAACAAAAATTGTTTATCTATACAACAACAATATGGTCAAACCTTTGTGTCTGTCTCGGTGTGTCCCTTATTTCAGCACTTTGAAGGATAAATATACAATTTAAACTTGTAGTTGTGACTGAAAGTAGATGTAACAATAATGCTTGAAGGGCATATATTTTTTTACTGATTTGTATGTACTGTACTGTATGTCTAGTCTGATCCCACTCAAGCTCACATATTGCTGGTTGGCTTTCATGGCTCTGTTTTCTTCATAAACTGTAGGTTTTCAATCTCTCAATCTATCTAGCTATGTAATCTTATCCCATCCTGTATATACAGAAATGCAGTGAGGGTATATAGTGAGGTAACAGCTATTTAAACAGTGCCAGAAAGTAATATTGGCTTTTCACTTTCAGTACGTCTGCAACACTCGAAGTAACATTTTTATAGGAAATATACATTACATTTCTGTAGCATATGGTTTTTGTTCCCCGCACTTATAAACAGACTCTTTGCTCCTTAAACTACAGTATAAAAATGGAGCATTGGGACAAATCTTTATTAACTGACTGCAAAAACAGTTTAGTAGTAGAAGCAACACAGCTTGTGCAAATGTGATTTCACTACTGCAAATTAAATGAGGTTTAGGGGGCCCAGGATGGATGTGATAAATTGTTACAAGCAAACCATTGCAAATATGGATAATAATAAATGCAGCCTCAAAAACAATATAACAAACTTTAGCAGTAATGTGAAGATAGTCCCTGTGTAGATAGTTGAATAAACATTAGCAAAAGGATTTATGCAGCAGCCTCAAAGGTTTACACTAGCTTAAACACTATAAAAAAAAAATAAAGCTGAAGTTTAATCTGCTTATATTTTCCCTTCTCTGATCCTTCCTTTCCCCTTTCATCAATTTTTTTTCATTTTTAAATAAAATCTTTTCTTATTATTTGTAAATAAAATCATTCTTTTTAACAGTACATATCTCATTTTAGTCCCAGTAATATCATCACTGGGTCTCTGTGCTTTTCAATGCATGCTAATCATGATGGCTGGTGGGAAATGCCAGCAGGGTGCTGTACATAGCTTCCGGAAAGCATCATAAAACCCTCAGTACTCTTCCCAAGGGCCCTCAGTTCAGATGCAGGCAGTGGGCTGGCTCCCAGTAGGTGTTATGCAAAATATCAAAATGTCTTTGGTAGAAGTTAGTCAGAAGGAGTGGGTGTTCCTAGGCAGACTGTATTTGCATGCCAACTGCCATAAGTAATGCCCACATATGATGCTGAGCCTAAATGATTGAAAGAGCAGCACAGTGGTTTAGTAGTTAGCACTTCTTCCTAGCACTAGGGGCCCCCAGTTTGTATACCAGTCAGGACGTTATCTGCAAGGAGTTTGCATGTTCTCCCTGTATGCTTGTCAGGGTTTCCTCTGTGTACTCTGGTTCCCTTCCACACTCCAAAAACATGCTAAAAGGTTAATTACATAAAGCACTACGTACATTGTTAGTGCTATATAAATACCAATAATAAATAAAGTCCAATGAATAAAAACGGTGGGTCAGAGACAGTAATACTGATTAAGAAAGAGCTAGATGATGCTGGGCATCCTCCAGTCAGGAAATGAAATGGGCTCTATCTGACTTGCTGCAGCTTCTAATGTACATTGTGGGAAGCTCACAGCGTGCAATTAAATTAGAGTAAGCAATTTCAGTACAGGAGTGGAGCCTGTACAACTGTGCAAGACTGAAGGTAAGGATGAAATTCAGTTTTAAAGTAATATATTCAATCATACATTTATACAAACTACAAAACTATCAACCTACATAGTTTATACAAACTATAAGTTTCTACAAATCAAATAATAATAGGTACAAATTAGCTTAGCCAGTGCTGCTCACACTGTAAGGTTTGTCATCCAAGCTTTATGTCTGAGAAGCTTTCCATTCCAAAACTGGCATTTTTATTTAATATTATTATTTTTATGGGTTACTTTTTCAAAACATGCAACATGTAATATATTTTACAGTAATGTTTACTTCAGTTCTCATTCATTTATTATTTTTATGGGCCTAATTCTAAGTTCCTTCTTGGATTCTCTTTCCCTGCCATTTTATAGACAGCACCATTCATATTTATAATAAATGAATTGTTTGGTGAATGTTGAAGTGAGCAAATGTTAGCAAATGTGTGGCTAGTGGCACTGTGAGTGTAATGGCATGTATAGGATTAATGTATTGCACAGTGTGGAATAGATACAAGAGAACTATGGCCCAACCTTTAAAAGAGAACTATGGCCCAACCTTTTTTTGCCATAGTTCTCTTTAGGGTCACAGAAGGACATATACTAATGTCCTCCTGTGACCCAAAATTCAGAATATAGCCGGCTATTGCCCGCTATATGCTGACAGCGGAGAACTGCACTGCAGACCGGACTGATCCTGACAATTTTGTTGGGATCCACTACCTGATTGACAGCTGCCTCTGCCTTTTTAGTCAGTGCTGGAGGAACGGAGAGGGGAGGGGGGAATCCCTGCGGGAGCCGTGACTGAAAGTCACCGCTCTCTGCAGGGAAAAGATCATGAACTCAGCGATCAGCGGTATGTGATCACTCAGTTCTCAATCAATCGAGCCAATCTGTGACAGCTGCAGTGTCACACATCAGCTCTAATTATGTGGATGAGTGTATTTCACTCTCCCCATTATTCTCCTTTAACAGTTTCACTTCCACAACAATGAGTAATGACCAGATAAATGTGAGGTAAAAGTCTGCATATCTGGTGAATGCTATTATTTCTAACTGATGATAACTACACTAATAGAAGTAGGCAAACATGGTTGTAGAAGATGACGGA